AGGCCAGGTAGGCCTGGGCTTACCCAAAATTTTGGTAGATATTTCATAATTATAGATAAATAAAGACATTTAATTATATGTAAATAAAGGGAAAGCGTTAAAACTCATTATTTTGCATTTCAATTATAAAATTCCCCAATTTTGCAGGAAAGCCCCTAAATCCTCTTATACCCTGATCAGACTCCTTCTCAATCCTTGTCAGGGCTACCAACGAAATTTTTTCCAGAAGCCGCCCCTGACTCCTTAGATGCCCACCCACTATGTTTCCTTTTAAGCGAATTTCTTTATTGGGAAGTATTTAGCAAATTTCCTTATAGGGAAGTAAATAGCTATTACCATAGGTGGCATGGTAAGACCTAGGCTTCTAAAAAAAAGTCAAGATGGTGGCTGGAGAAGACGATGAGTTTTGTGGTACGTGTAATTTGGAGTTTAAATCTGAGGAAAAGTGCATCCAGTGTGAAGGATTTTGTGGTAAATGGAATCACATTAGTTGTGTTTCAATATCTGATGAACAATATGACATGATTACTAAATTAGATTCACATTCACATTGGTTTTGTGTTACGTGCCTAGAGGACTTGAAAGGGGAGGCCTTCTTTTAGGCAACCTTTCACCTAGGTACCATTTCACTTAAATCACATATCAAGTTGGTACCGACAACTCAAATCGGTCAGCTAGGTCCCGGCCCCTCCCTTCTGGGGGAAGGGCGTGGCTTCGCCGTGGTCACGTGTTTTGCGGTGCGGTCGCTTACCCTCTACACTTCTGAAAATTCCCTCGACTTCTTTGAATTACCTCTACTCCACCCAAATTTCAGCCTTCCTTCGTCTCGTTTCTTGTTCTGTTCTTAGTGAAAACTTACTATCGATAGTCACACTATCGATAGTTTTCGATAGTTTTTTAAAAACTATCGATACTATCGATAGTACTATCGATAGTCACTCAAATGGAATTTTAATGCATATAATCACGGCCCCCTTTAACTCCAGGCCGCGGCCTTCGAACTGGCAACGTCGCAAGTGGTGCTGTAACAGCTGTTTTGTTTGGAAGCAGCTAATGGTTTGTGTATTTACGAAAGATTGGTTACTGGACTATGACAATATTGACTCGGCTTAAAAATGTACAGATATAGATTTTAATTCATACTGTTTCGGTTTTCAATTCTGTATGTTTTATTTTCAATATATTAATAAATTTATGTTCATAAATTTAAATTTAAATCAATAAAGTGCGAATTAATGAGCTGATGTCACCTGTCTGCCATGTTATCTTATGGGACGTCTGTCACTGAACAACACCACTTGCGATGTTGCCAATTCTACCAGGCTGCGGCCTGTAGTTAAAGGCGGCCGTGATATAATATTGTATATATCCTGCCTGCATGAGTTTAAACAATAGTTTCTACCTAGTCGAAGATAAAGCTGTATCAGATTATTAATTTTAACAATTTATGAGTGACGCCCTCCTTTATGTTTTTTTTCCAAAATATTACAACATTTGTATAAAATAACAATAAGTTTTTTTAAGGGTTACAACAATAAAAAAAGAAAAATTCTCTTACTATTTTCTTTTTATTATTCACTACAAAAAATATGTTTTTACTCACATAGCATAAATAATATATATATATTTTTTTATGACAATCTAAAACCATAGATCAAAGGAAAATACCGTATACCGGTGTCTACTATGTATGCTAAAACCCACGAGGCAAATGTACCCAAGTCCGGTAGTAAATTAGCAAATGCCCCCGCTTTCAAATGTTTGAGAAGGTAGCCTACTTGTCTACCAAGCTTTTCTACAATGAATTAAAAAAAATAGTCTATAATATTAACTATAGGTATGCATTAACAGACAAACAATGAAATGTAAGAGTACCAGATAATGATTTCTTTACTTAATTTAACGTAAAAAAAACTATCGATAGTCTCATCGATAGTATAATACTATCGACCCACTATCGATATTTTCAAACTATCGATACTATCGATAGTAAGTTTTCACTATCTGTTCTGCGTTTCTTCTTCTTCTTCTCTTCTAGATCTGCTGCTGCTAGCTCTAGCTCTCTAGCTCTACTAGTAAGTTTGAGGTTAGATTTTGGAGAATTTATTGTTTGTCAATTTCAATTGTCATACAAATTTGTATTTTAGGTGTGTATTTTCAATTTAGGCCTCAAGTTACAACTACTACAGTTTAAAGAACCATTTTTGTCATCACAAAATTGAAAGGTGCAACTTATTGACATTTATTTATTATCAACGGTTCTACCATTTTTACAATGTTGATTAACAATAACAATTAAGACAGCTAGATTTCAAATGACTTAAATAATGGACATGGACATGGTCATTAGAATATTAACGTTTCAAGCAAATTCAAATTAGTTTCTGGTAGCCTATAAAATAAATTGGGGGTACAGTTTCCTGGGCTTCGCTAATATCGATTGAAACTATCAAATTAAAAATATTGATTAATAATCGATATTTAAAATATATCTATTTAAAAATTAAACTGCACTTTAGGCCTAACGTCCTACACTATAATTTGAATAAATATATCGATCGATAAATTGATTATTTCATTCAATATATCAAGTTTGGTTAGTAAAGTTAACCTAACCTAACCGAATGAATCGATACATCAAATAGGCCTAGTCTATCCATTAGTTGCATACTACGCTTTAAGTTGGATTTTTAAACTCATAGAAAATTATGACTATTAGTTTTAATATAACTTCCAGTACTAGACTATTGATCGATTTCGAGCAACAAGTGCACTAGTTTTTTTTATATTTTTATTTTTTATGAGATGCTGACAAAGTATAAAGTTTTTCGTATGACAGTTTTAGTTTACCATTTGAGTTTTTAGCATTTTATGACATAGGCTAGCCTACGTATTTTATACTCTCAGCAGCTGGAGTAGTGTGATTTTTTCTTTGATTATTGTGGCTTTACGTGACAGGTGGAGGTGGATGGCTATAACTTACAAGGTTACATGGTACACATTAAATTCATAATGATTTGCCTATTTTGGTAGACTGGCTTTTTCGTAGGCCTACGCTTCATTGCTCTTTACAATTTCAAGAGATCTATTGTTCAAGGCGTCAATGGGCAACTAACCTAAGTTTATCGCCATTCTACCGCATTATAACCCACCCTACAGGGCCCGGATTTTGTTGGTAGCAAATGCACAACTAACCTACCGCCAGGGCAACGGCCATCAAAACATTTTTATGTATGATAATAAACCTTGTAGGTTAGTCTAAACTTAGTTGATACTACTAACAAAATAACTTAGCCATCTTAAAGACATCAAGTAATTAAGTAGGCCCATTTTATTGGTCGTTGAATAATCACTAATTAACTTACTATAGACTTCGTCTGAGACACATTAACTCACGGTATATAGGCTACTTGATCAATAGCGATATAGGCCTATTATCACAGTCACATTTTTTATGCATAGCCTATCAAATATATAGGCTCTATCACATACGTTAAAATAAATAATAAGTATATTTGTTCAGTTAAATAGATCAGGGGTAATAGTACTTGTTGTAATATGTAGTTCTACTTCATCAAATCCATTTCAATGCATCAAGCAAAAGAGCTGTAACCCCATGATTAACTTAGCCTAGGCTAGTCTAATAATATTTTAAGACATTTTTATTTTATGATATTAAAAACATTAGGCTACACTAAGCTAATGAAATCTTCCCAAACTTAGCCTACTCGGCTTTTAATTTTTGCTTCGATTTTGACTGCCCTACCCATCAATGAGGTTAAGGGTATAAGTTAGGCCTTACCTATACAAAATCCTGCCTTAATCTGAATGGGAAAACATTATTATTTGCAGATGATACAACGATGCTGTCCAGAACCTTTAGGATTATTACAGTTGTTCGGCATTTGGATCATTGCCGGCCAATCTTAAAGGATCTTAAGCTACGTTTCCATTCCTGCAAATTTGTGCCGGCACAAATCTCCAAATTTGTAGGAATGGAAACATCCTGGCTCAAGTCGCGGCACAAATTTGTGCCCGCTGACTGCGCGACAAAACATGTGCCCGGGCCGCGGGCACATGTGCCTGCAACTCGTGCATGCAGCAGGTCCTCCAAACTACCGCATGCTCATAAATGACAGGTAATCATAACCTCAAATTTCGTTGAGTCCGTTGGAGGAAATTTTCGAAGCCACTTTGTATGCGCAAATCTCTCATCAATTGATTAAATGCACCTTCCAATGCTCTTTTAGCCAAAAAACTTCTTATCCACTATCTAGGTAGTTTTCTTCTAAGTTCATTGTATGCACCAGCCATAAATAAAAAAGCAGAGGCTGTTATGTCATCCATGGTGATTTGTAGAACACAATATAATCAAAATCAGCCACCGAACCTCACCACATCACAATAAAAGAGAACACTGCCTTGTCTGCCAGTTGTAGTGGCGGGACTTGTGCCTGGAATGGAAACGGCATGAAAAACTACGTGCGACATGTGCCTCGTCATGGTCACGACATGTGCCTCGACTTGTGCCTGCGACTTGTAGGAATGGAAATGTAGCTTAAGGGTACTCACGGCGTAGTGCTTGATATCCTGACCCTAGAAAAGATGACGTGCAGGCAGTGGTGGATTTAGAACAGTCACAAGGGGGGGGGACCAGGGTGTCTGAGAGGTTCGGGGGTACCCCCTCCCTCCCCAAAAATTTGTTTAAACTAAGTCTTCAAAAATGGCAGTTTTATACCATTTCTTTGTCCTAAGTTAGTGTGACAAATTATTTTACGCAATTTGTATGCACTACTGTATTAAATGCAGTCAAAAATATATGACATATATTTCCAAACTGCGACTGCCCCCCCCCCTCTGGATCCGCCACTGGGGTGCAGGAGTACTATACCAGAAGAGCACAAAATATAGACTTTTCCTGCTGTCGTCTCAAACATACCTAGAATAGCTATCCTCGTTCTACTATTAACTACAATTCATAACTGCCTACTCATTTGCAGGAGATGGATGCACCCTCCTTCAGAAGGCGCTGAAAGGAATACTAATTATAGGCCGCTGTACTCCGTAGAAGAACTTAAGGAAGAGCACCTAGTGAGATAAGTGAATGTCTGCCATATCATCCGTTAAACAGCCAGGTTTTTGAAGGTATAGTTTATTATAAATATTATATATAGAGTTATTTATTAAATCACTTAATAATTTACTAGCTTCTGTGCCCGTGCTTCGCAACGGGAAGATGAACTATACCGCCTAATCCAAACAGTTGTTAAGTAGTCCGAATTTATGAACAAAAGCCACCAAATGTTGGCCTACTGTATAAAAAAAATTATGACCAACATTGTAATTGCCCTACTGTTTACGTTAAAATATATCAAAAACATAATATTCATTTTCATATTTGAGTTGTTTTGTCTCAAGATCAATGAACCAACTATAAAAGGTATAAAATTACCTCAGTACTGCCAGATTGATCCTGTTTAGTCCTTATGGATTACGGGTTTTAAGGACTTAAGTCCTCATCATGAGATCTTGTACAAGAACATTTAACACTGTAACTTCAAAAGGGTCATCAAGAGTTTAAATGCGAAACACGGACATGTACTATTTACAGTCATAGACGTTTTATGAACAAAACGAGTAGGCTTACTGACAAAAACTTACAATGTCCAACCCCAACCTCGTGCGCACAGTTGCAGATGAGGGTCATGACTGCGATGCGGAAGATGGTTGGGCGGTGGACTTTGTACAGCTCGGCTCCTTGTTCATCAGCTGATCTTGTTTTTTTATTAGAGTATCATACAAAGTGTTAGACTGTTAACTGATTTTGTCGTTTAATAATGTGTTAGCTTGAATTTTGATTGTTTTTTAAATTTCAAATTCTTCTAAAGCATCCATTCCTGTATATTGCTTTTACAATCAAAATAAACTACGCCATGGCTCGGTCCCCAGGTACTTATTTCAATTCAGGAAATTAAAACCTTTACAACTATTATTCAACAAAAACTTCTTTGCACTAACTTGATCAGGGAAATATAGGCCTAGACAAAATATAAAAGGTTTAATTTACCTGTTGCTGATCCTGTTAAAACTGTTAACAAGGGCAGGCCAAGACCATAAAGCACTTCATCCAAAAATAAAATTATTGCGCACCCCATACAGTTGATTTCTTGAAGTTACAAGTTCAGGCGTCCGATAAAAGCATGTAGCTTCCCAATAAGATCCTCCTCAGGAAGATATCTACCTCTTGCCACATTAACAAGAGTTATTCTTCTAGCAAGAAGAATAACTCTTGGTAATGTGGCAAGAGGTTAACATGTGTCTTTAACAAGCAATGAAAGCCCCTTAAAGCTTGAGTTTGTGTCGCACGTTTGTAGGCGGAATAAACCAGTTAAAAACTTTTAGTTAAGGGTACCTATGGTAATTTATTGTAAAATAAGACCTTTTTATTTGAAACTACCAACTACATCAACCCGCATAATTTGGTACCCCCGAGTATTTTAAAATTGTGACTTTCTTTACCAAGATTAAAATGTTTGTTTCAGGAAGAAAGATGTAGCCCCAGCTCTGGACAAAAATATTATGGAGAAGGTTGGCCGCTGTACAGGGCAGCTATAGTTATTATTATATGTTGCCTTTTATTGTTATGTACTGTTTTTATACTTTACCAATAAACCTTATATTTATCTAGAGCAGTTAATTTTGTTAAAATTCTTACCAGTAAACTTCTCTGTAATTTGTAAAGAAAACATGTAAAAATGATTATATATTTTATTTTGATCTTCTAACTATTTTGACAGTTTTATAGATAAAATATTCTTTTTTTAGATAAATTTTTTTATTGTTCTTGTTCGTACATGTCTCAGATAACTATACATAAAGATAAAATGATATTTATATTTGTATCATATATGCGATACATATCATACTGCATATCATGCATATCATACTGTGCCAATCTTAAGAAGCAAAGTTAATATATAGCTAGTAAAATAAAATAATGTTGGTGTTTAATGACTAATGAGTGTACTGTAAAATTGAAATAAGTAATTCAAAAGTTGAAACAAAAACTCTATTTAGCCAACCCAATAAAATCACTCAAGAATTTTCCTCTGAATAAATGTTTGAACTTCATAGTCTAGAGGTGTTAGAGTTAGGTTAATGAGATATAAGACTGCTTAAGGGTGTTGCTCAACATGTAATGAACAAAATTAAATTAAGAAAAACAACAAAAGTAAAGCAAAAGAAAACTTTGAAAAGGCAAAGATCAACAATAATAAGATAAATAAATGTACAACGTTATAATTTACAAGAAAAGAAAATCAATTAAAAAGTTAAAAGAATGAGTTACTGACAAACTATATGACTTGTTTGTTTTACAAAACTTTAGTTATATATTTTATTCTTTTTACATACTGTTTATTGTCCCAGAAGCACATGCACCGATACACACACTCCGAAACTCTCGATCTTCTTGGTCCAGTGGCCCGTGGTGAACTCCTCGATTTGTTTCTTCAGCTCCGAGACTCCTCACCCCTCCATTTCCTTCATTAGCCCTTCTCATTGGCTGATTGGGTGTTTGACTTATAGGTTAACGATGTTTCTTGGAAGTCAGCCCTACCGGTCATCGCCTAGCTCACGTCAGCTGTGAAAGGAATTTGTAAATCGATACTCATGCTACTGTTCAACTCTCTTCACACCATCTGGTCGACTATAGTCCTCGCCACCCTAAGTTGAGGCAGCCAAAGGCCGCACTAGATATACGCCGTGCGGCCTTGGGCTGCCTCAACTTAGGGTGGCGAGGACTATAAGTGTAATGTAAACAGAGTATCTGCTTAGATGAGCACCGTGGTTACGGGGTTAATCCCCTTTCTTACAATGTAAATCTATGTTGTAAACTTCTTGACATACGAGAACTACTTTAAGGACAATTTATACTACGCGTACGCTCATTCTTCCCGTATTGGGGGCCTAAGACATTGAAAAAGGCTGTGCTGGTAAAAGCGACCAGAATACACAGTAAGACCGAAGACCCTAGTTGTTGCCGCACATAAAAATTATACTGGATATATAGCAGGTATGGATACAAAAATCATGGATGCTCAAACAGTGTCTTGCACAGCAGATCATTTTGAGAATGCCAGAGGTCTTGGCACAGATGTGCTGAATGTCTGGCCCAAAGCCCAAACGCATATGGCGAGTCAATAAGAATCTGGGAAATAGTCAATATCCAGAGAATTTTGTTAATGCCAACAATTTTTAACTTATTCTTGGTGGAATCAACCATTATCTTTGGTCAAGTCTTAGCTAAGACATCATTAAGAGACTGAGACGGTGGTGTCATCCTGTAATTCAGCTACTAAGGAGGTCACGAAATGTGGATATTTATAGGCATGTACTGTGGATGTGATACTTCCTGGTTTGAATTAACGCCCTTACTAGTGAGTACTACGACTATCCGCAGTACTATCCTGATAATTAGACCAATTTTTTTATACCTACCAAGGAAAAATGTGGTTCGGATTCTACTATAAACTGTAGGTCCCAATAGTTTCCATTAGCCCAAAGTATGGGCTATTAATTGACAGCTGTGTCTAAGGAATATGTCAGCCTTAGTCACTAACAAGGATACAAAATCGTGCCACTCATCTCCATGCATACTGGTACTTGGCTTAAAATACCTACTTTGTATGGTTGCCATTTCAAATTAAAGTATTAAGCCTAAGGCAAAATGACTCATAATCATAGAGGGAAGCAACTTTCCACAAACAGATTTATATCGTCAGCGAACTAAGCAGGGATCTTGATAACTCTCTTGATGTCAATATATACAACTAAAAATATCTGTAAATTTCTTTTGATGTTTTCATGATATATATGCAATGCAATAACTTTTGAGTAACTTTAAGTAGTTTTTAAGTAACTTTTGAACATTAAAAATAGATGTTAACAACAAATTTTTCGATAAAACTCTTTACAAAAATCTGAAGGGCAGGTCCAGAATTAATGGCCTCTCAAGTCCGTAAATTGCATCTGTGATGTTTTTTAGTAAGTTCAACGCTAAATGATTATCAGTTAACTTAACTTATCCAATCAATAGTCTTAATTAATACTTATGAAGTCAAACGGAACGGGGTGAAGCCCGTGGGTAACTGCTAGCAGTCTAGTTGATATAAAACACGTTTTTAAAAATAATTCGTTTGATGCTTTAAATGCAAATGTTAGGCATTTATTTTATGAGTTATTTAACTTTTCATACAACAGATCTATGGGACATAACAATAAATTATTCTATTTAGCGTTCCTTTAGCGAAGCACGGGTATGGCGGCTAGCTATAGTACGCTCTATTTCGCAACGGGTACACAAGTTCAGAATACATTTAATTGGTTGATGTAATAATTAAGTCAATAGCCCAAAAGTAAACTCATCCGATTTATTGTGCATCCTATGTTCAATTGTGTTTTGGATTTTGTCACATAACCTGAAAACCAGTCAAACGGTTACATGGAAATTGTGGGAAATTTCGCTCTACAAGTGCCTGCTGCATCCCTGCATTTATCCCACTGAGCTAGATTTATCCAACAGTGTTGTCATATTGAGGGAGTAACACTAAATTCAGGGGCGTAATCTCGCTGAATAAAATTAAAAGTCTGCAGCAACACCTATTTCAAATTTTAAAGACAGCTTTGTCTGGAGCTCCGTTTTTATATATTCTACTACTTTATTTAACTTATGGATTTTATTTTGTACCTTTCATATGTGTTATATTTAGCTAATAATCTTAACATATAAAAGTAAAAGCCCTCACTCAATGATTCATTACTAATCCAACTTCCAGACTAGCTAGAACGTTGAAATTTGGTGTACTGATTCTTCAGGCATTAAATAGGAAAACTAAGTAGTTTTTATCCTGATCCGACTTTTGGGTTCCACCCAAGTGGTTCTGGAGTTTCCTTGTTAACCTTATAAGTATCTATATTATTAAAAGACTTTGTTGGATTTTGTGTGCAGCAAATTGACCCATAAGTTTGAATGTTTATAGGCATATTAGGTATCCATATATTAAATATATAGATACCCAATATATTTAATAGGCAAACACGAATTTTGTGACGTATCCGTTTTGAAGCTGCTATGCATCCGATCACCACGTAGATAAATGCTTTCCATTGACCTACCTTTATATTGATTGGCATATCACTGACAAATGATCACTATAATGTTTCTCAAAACATATATATGGCCTAGAATAATAACATTTTGCATTGGGACGACAATCCATGTATATGGTGTAGATGTACAAAGTTGGGGGTTTTGCAAAGTTCTAAATTCAAGGGTGGTTTAGGGGATTAAAGCTATTTCAGAAGAAATTCGAGTATGCAAGATATTATATTTTGGTCTGTAACTTATAAGCTACAATGCTTGGATCTTAAATCTTATGGAAGATCGGTAGTGTAGAATTAAATTATCCACAACTTTTGTATTTCAAGAGTGTTTTTCTATCTCAAACATATTTCGAGTAAAACAGGTTTACATTCAAAACTGTGAAAATTTGCTTGTTCCTCCACCTAAAAACTAGTCAGTGTCCGTACGTTTAACCATAAGATTACCAATCTTTTATTTTATCCCGTAAACATTTGAAATCTTCTATTCTAAAGCTTCAATTCAGTATATGTTGTTATCATTAACCGGAACTGCTACACAATTTGTTGTAAAACGGTGATAGTTTTCGTTAAACGTTAATAGAGTCAATCTTCTTATATTTAAAAATAAATTTAACCGATTTTCATGGTTGAGGTCTCAAATTGAAGGTGTGCACAGATTTCACTCTAAGCATCGGCATATATATTGATCTACTGTATTACTCGTCCAAAAAACATATATTTGACTTTTCGAATTCTTACTTCAATTTAACCCGCATTTCACCAGTTATAATTATAATAATCCTACATATTTTGGTCTAAGAACCTTCAGTGAAATGCCGGCTCTCATTTAAGCTATTAATTAGTTATCCAAATCGGACGGACTACAAGCAATTGCAATGTGAACAACCAACATATAAATTATTTTTTTATAAGGGTTTTCTATGATTAAAAATCAATAGTTCCACTATTAATTGTTTATGCTTTTTTTCGGACCCAGGGGCATGGAAAGAAACTGGTTCGCAAGATGATGGACTTAATATCGTATTTTGTTATTTACAGTATTTCACCTATGAAAAGTTCAAACTAGATATTTTATACATATAATTTCCTTCGGCATTTAAACTGCCTACTTTGTAGCCGTAAATATCGGAATTACCCACAAAACCCTTGTATGGGAATGTTTATTGCTCCAGACTTTTGAGTTGGCAGCACTGTTTACCCCATAACAACTACTCCCTCCCCCAGAAACCTTGCAGCCAATGAGAGCAGTCGATGCCCCCACCACAAGAGCAAGAGGGCGTTCATTACCTCACCAAATTGAAAAGTAACCAACCTGACCGATTTCAATATCGGGCAGGTAGGTCCCTTCACCAGTTTGAAAGGTTACCTACTAGAAGGGATCCCTTCGTCTGCACATAAAGTTTCAAACGTGCATGCACAGACCAGTAGGAAGAACAGACCGACAGCAGGGAGTAAGAATGAGTCTGTCCAGTCTGTTGGTTCTGAAATCTCTAACTCCACTTCACCATTGAAAAAAGATAATCAG